ACTGTCAACTCACTTGGTCTCGGCAATGCCGCTGCTGCAGCTGCAGCTTGTCTGAACGACGTCAATTGGTTTGTTCGATCACGCGAATCTCGTCTATCCATCCCCAATTTGGATTCTGCTCAACTCAATCTCCCATCCCAACCTAATATGGTTCCTGCTTCCGACACTCCCGTATCTATTGCCTTGGGAAATGGGACCCCAACACTCTACCCCGGAGTCAATCAGATAACTTCGTTTAACGCTTCCACGGTGCCGACACCTTCAATACCCCCGTTTTTCACTGCGACTGAGCTCTCAGCTACAAACCCTGCAGCGGCTGCAGTGATTGCGGCACTTGTTTTGCAACAGCACTCCCGTGCTGCTCCAGCCGCATCAGGAATACCTACCGTTTCTTATCCAACTGTTTGTCCATCCACTGCGTCGTTTGCTGCTGCTGCTACACTCCCTAATCTGATCGGATATCAGCCGACTCAACTTACCTGTCCCATCCCCGTGCCCAACTCTGGTGGGGCTGTATCTATTCCCTCTTCGAACCTCGCAACATTGTATGGTCCGACTTTATTTTCCACTCCGACAGATTTGACACTTCCGCCCACTAGTTCAGTTGTTCCCATTGGCACAAATACTCCGGTATCCGGAACGCGGCTGGGATCATCCCGTCCACCGTCAGTACAATCTCTACCGCCGACTACCTGTACAATTCAACAACTCCAAGCCACACAAACGCAGACTCAATCCTTGCCACCCCGTATTTCCCAATTGAATCTATCTAACTTGTCCGTATCAGATTTGTTACAACAGCTCGGTTCTGAGGATCTGCACACGCTTCTGACACGCTCGACAGTCACTACCACCAACGCTTACCAACCGCGTCCTCAACCAGATTCTATCAATAACGCTTCCATGATCGCGAATGCGCTATCTACCCAATTGCTTCCCCACCTTCTCACCTATCCCGCACTGGTGAGTTAATTAGTGTGTCCATATGTGAATCACCTATAGGAGTTGTTTTCGTTCGGTTTTAGGCTCAACGATCAATTCCAGTTTGCCGTACTATCGTTTTCTTGATATTCAACATCAATCATGTGATTTGTTGCATCCATTAGATCGGAGCGTCCACCATCACTATCGGTCATTAAGATTGAAAAAAAACCACTCATCATTTGTAAACATGCTTGATCATGCAAACATTGTTTTCATCAACTCGTGTTCAGATTGACTGGGTATGTGTAGATATTTGTGTACCTCCCACTCACGTGGCCTGAATCTTATCCCCTATCGCAATTCGTGTACGACAGGCTCAGACATAATTGAAAAAAAGCGATTGTTGAGATAATCACTATTGTCAAAATCCGGTGTAGAAGAGAGAGAACCAGTCCACAGGAAAGATAGCCCAGTAGTTTGTCATTCTCAGAAAGTGAGCTCTTATTAATGGATATTAAATTATGCCGTTAATACACGCTACTTCACAAGCATTTCCCCCTTGACCTACAAAATTCAAATATTTCGAGAAATGGTATTCTTTTGAAAATGTGGCCCAGTTTACGTCCAACTCGAGCTTTATAATTCGTGGGAATTAAGAAGCGGTACAAAAGTGAGTGGAGTTTCGTATTTTTGTTTTCTCGTTTAGCTGATTATGCGATCTGCTACCAGTTTTCTAACACTATATCCCTCGTACTCAATAATTGGATCAATCATGGAATACCTCTTTGTGATTCATGCTCTGTTTCCAGCCACTACTGGATTTAGCGTTCTCCTTTTCAGTTTGAACAACCATTGACCATGCACTTTTGTGTTGCGATTTTCATTGCTGTCTTTTGGCTGTCCTTCTCGGTAAAAGAGTAAAAGGAAGTTGGGAATGTTAAAAATAGTGCGAAGATGAAAATAAAAAATTCATGAAGACTAATGTTGCAAGGACAATGAGTAGCCATCGATTAGAATGACCCTAAGGTCCCCCGGGAAGCCTAATGCGACCAATGTGAGCAAGTTTCCTGACCTCAGGTTCCTTACCTTGTACACCATGTCACATCTTAATCGCTCAATACAGCGCGTGTCATCGTATCAAGCCAGAGATATTTTGACAATTTTCCGGTTGATTGGCGATAGTGCCAATGATTTCTATCAAATTAACGTTTAACATAACAGTCAAATTGCATGTTTCTTTTATTCTAATGATTTGTATGACTATTTTTCATAACACATTCTAGGTTATTTTTCATCCTCCCTTATCATTATATAGTGTGATTATTGTGCCGTCAGCTAGCATTTGCTTCCATCTTCAGGTGTCTGTCTAGGTATTGGTGATGACACTGAATCCTTCTCGTCGCAATTCGTCACGAAAAATAAATGTCTTCTTTTCAGTTGCATACAATCTCCCAGGGTTATTTTCTTACAATAAAGCATCGCCTGATCGATCGATCAATTATTCACTTAAGTACATGGTTGAGTATAGAACAGAAGAACAATCTTCTACCTGCTAGGTTTGGAACCCGGTTGTTTTTGCATGGTACTGATTAAATGCACATATTCCGTACAAAAAATGAATGAATATATTTTCTTCATCTTGTAGCGGAACCTTCTGACAACGATCGTTGGATCTGCACCTTCGAAGACAGTGAATCTAATGCCCAATTCGACTAACAAACCTTCGAACACCACTACTGCTGCTGCTACGTCTTCCACTGCTGTCATCGCTTCCACTGTTGCTGATAATCTGTTAGCCAATTCTCTGCACCACATTACCACGGATCAGGGCTCTATAGACATTTGTCCAAACGTGTTGGATTCCAGTATGAGCTCGAACTTAACCAAAGTGCAGGCACACGCGAAGGGTTTGGTCGATTTCATCAACAAGTCGCCGTCTCCGTTTCATGGTACGTGCCCTGATCCCACCGTTCATTCCTTCAACCACCACTCCCCATCAGTCAAGTGTCCTCGAGGGTTATCACATTAAACAAAATCGAAAAGGCTGTAAGACCTTGCTCAGCTTTAGCGCTTTCATACTTCCTTTTTCTTAAAATACGATATCACCCATGTTTCACAACAATCCCCCCTAGGATTGGATCCATTTTCTTCCAGCTGCCACATCATTTGAACCTCTTTGTTCTTCAGTACTTATGGTGGCACCTAAATCAACTCTCAAACATAACTGGTACACGGTAATTTTCCTCCAAAAAGAGTTCATTTCAGTTTGAACAACCATTAACCATGCACTTTCGTGCGCCAGTTTTGGTTGCTGTCTTTTCTTAGTTGATTTACTCGTTGTGATATATTGTGCTTGTATTGAGGATTAGGATGAGTAGGAGGAGGATACTGCGCATAGTAATCATCTCAAAGCTGGTTGTTCCCTGGCAATTTTTTTTTCAAGAACATCCTGACGACGTACTAACCTCTATCCTAATCATTCCGGCTTTTCACCTTGCTTGTATAGAAGAGTGAACAACAAAATTAAGGTATTAAAAGCAAACCGTTCTCGTCAATCATCTAGTGTAACCTTCTGTCATCTGTTATTTCCTGGGTACGAAAACTTCAACAACCAGCATGTTACACTTACATCTTGGTCATGGGACCATCTGTTAATCCAGATTTCTTAACTCCAGTGAAAAATCCCACTGTCATTCTAAGGTTACTTACCACTTGCACATCAATTGAAACGAACTTAGAAATCCTCTGCCATTGCGTCCTCTATCCCTTGACAAGGCCATTTGTGGTGTGCCAACACAAATCTTACTTGGTTCACTATAGTTAGTTCCTTTTCGGCGCTAGTTCATCAGAATGCGTTAAGTCAATGACATACCAAGCGTGTTGAAAAGCAAGACTGCGTTAAATACAGTCAAGAGACGTAATGGTTGCACTGCCGGTTGAAAACTCAAAAGATGATCATCTACTTCAGTTTTGGAAACCTGGTGAGAAGTCCCCCGTGAGTCAGGTATCGATTGTCACAAACGATGACAGTACTCTGATTTGTTTGACATACACTCTGAACCTAGACAAGTGCGAAACAAATCGCAATCTCGTGATAACCTACACTGTTTTTACTTAGCTCTCGCGCTCCAAGATTTGGCCGAGTTATTTTAACTCCATTGACCTTTCTGTGTCTAGTTTCTTGTATATGAAGTGATGCGGTAACTGATGAATTTCCTAAAATCCTTGTACGGCTCGTCTCAGTTTACGAATGGATCCTAGTTTTTATCGCGTATCTTTCGGCGTTTTATCGTATCATTGGATTCGATCGTCCTGTCTCGTGCACACACACAGTTCAAAATGGATAATGGTTGTACGGTACCCCATTCTGCACGTAGGTAGTGTCATCCTCATACGACGTGTGTAACACCCTTGCTTGACTTATCAGATAATTTTATCCGATTGTAATTCCAACACAATGCTTTTAACTACGTGTGTTGTTCCTAGATGCATACAAAACCTATTAATCAGTCCTTCCATTCGACCGCAAATCCGATCAATTTTTACTCTCGTTTTCAGCTACGAAACGGTTAAATTATATTGCTTTTAGATTCGTTTCTGGATTTTTTTTGTTCAGCTGGACATACGCGAGTCTCGTTCGTCGATTTTTTTCCCACAGATGGTTAGCTTGCTCATTTTCCAACTTCTCCCTGAAATTCTCTTTCTGTGTTGATTGCCTTCTACATATGGGAGGATGTGAAACTGTGAGCCATAATTTGGATCGTTTACGGAATGTAAATTATCATGTATTGGTAGGAATTGTTTTGTGACGGGGTAATTGTTTCTGCATCAGATCTTCTACTTTTAGCGGGTGAATTTCCTCATTCGTCTTTGGTTTGCTCATCTAGATCATTGAGATCAACTTGAATCACCCGCCCACTTTGTAGCCTGGCCTCCCCCTGACATCAACTCACAACAACATTTTCACTGTATTTGTGCCTAAGTTTACCTGGTCTGCTCTTGCGTACACATAATTCACATCACAGTCGTACCCAATCATCTGTGTGCGTTTATGTTCAAGGTGTGTGTGTGTGTGTGGAGGGGGAGGGGGTAACAAATACATTTCCTGTTGCGACATAAGAGTAGTTCCTTGCCAGTCCGGTCGTGCACATTAATCCTGCAAGGTCCAAATGA